GAGATGAGAGAGCAGACTAATGTGAGTGACAAGACAGGGGAAGATAGAGATGGGGGAGGGAAGGACACTGCAAGTTGGTTGTCACACGCAATTGTGTGTTATTCTGTGTGTTTGGGGGTATGTTACAGCTTGCTCATGGCCATGGTCAATGAAGGATCAGGATGGTGATATTCTATGTTTTACTTATTGTCAACAAAAGCCTGTGAAAAGACCAAAACCAACAGATAATTACTAGTGACAAGAATTGTCTGTGTAGCCAAAGCCTGATGCAGTTTAGTCCTCTATGCCATTGTAGACCTCCACTGTTGCCCAAAAGCATAAGGCTGGCGAAATTCTGTGTGTGTTCTTATTGTCAATAAACCCCATGAATAGACCAAAACCTGATGCTTTCTGACTTCCCCAACTGTGTATGGTCTCAGGCCAAAGCCTGGTGGCTCCTACTGGTGACGCATCTTCACCCAATGCTTTCAGTTAACATGACATGTTCCTTTATTACAACATGGGTACTGTAGTTTGTTGTTAGTCAATACCACACAAACACTGTCCTGCTACTTCAAATAGCAGAAAATGTCTATTAATCTGTAGCTGAAAATAGTCCCCACAACTGCATTATTTATTCCTGTTTAAGCCTAACATTTGCTAAAAAACTACAGTCGCCCAGCTGGGTTAGGGAAATTACAGAGCCCTTTTAGTTAAACGATATATTCATATGCATTTTTAAAGATTTACATCTTCAGTCGGAACCAGTGTGCTTGAGGCTGAGTGCCATAGACAGGGTGGACAGTAAGAAAGTCTTGACAAGATGAACTTATACACTTTTGGTTTGGGGGTTTTCACGAGGTTTATTGACAATAAGAATAATATAGAATTACTTCAGCCTTATTCTTTAAAATGCACATTAAGTCATACACAGACAGTTTAATTTTTCTATGTAAAACCGCCATATTGGACGAGCTCCGGCATCTGCTATTTGTCCTAGATATCACAGGAGCTGCTCTGCAATGCCCGGCCAAGAGAGATGTCATTTCTGTGTGTGTGTGTGTGTGCCCTCCCTCCTTCCCTGAAACAAATCCACCAAATGTTAAAGCTGACGTGGGGTGACAGTTGCACAGTAGTGATGATGGGAGTAATTCAATAATGGATGCCGTCTCTAATGTGGGAGTCTGGATAGATAAAATATACATGGGAGAGAAGAGAAGGGGCTAGGGGGGAGGGGAGGGGAGAGGGAGCAGGAGGAAAAGCAGGGTGGTGATATCACTGAAACACTGTGGGGGGTCACAGACAGGGATGGGCAGCATTTCATCATATAGACAACATGGTGTGTGCTTTTGTGTGTGATGGGCTTCACAGGCTTTTTCTGAAGCACATTTAACCACTCAGGATTTCAGTATTTGGTAACCTCTTTGTCCTTCAGGTCACTCTGTTCTCATTCTGCTATAAACGCCCAGTCATTTCACCCATAGTGTAAGACTCCAGCTCCACCCACAGGAGGATATGTGTAGAAAAATCCGGCGGGGTGGGGGATGGTTGGGTGCAGGGAGCTGAGAGAGCTGACCGTGAGCCCCCAGCTCCAGTGTCTCCTTCATGTCATGCTGTGACATCTGCCACCCCGCCACAGTGGTCAGAGGTCGGGGACAAAACACAACCGATGACAGCAGTCAGGGATACACATGCATGCTTCACACTGGATCACTGACACACACACACACAAAACCATGCAGCCAAAATGAGTAAGGCCGTAAATTGTAATTACACATGGACTCACATACACCTTAAATACCCCTGGCATGTATAAGCTAGTATCTTCAGGCTATTGCTGCCAGACGACAGTATCTCTACAGAGTAAGACGCATAAAGAATATTAAATAGACAACAACACAATAAAAAATGAAGTTAAATGAAAACACAGGGAATTGAAGCCATAGTTCAAACGTACAACGTCCTCAATTGCCAGCAACTCTCAGTGCAACAATAACAATTTACATGATAAACAGACATTTGACAGAGTTACGTGATTCACATTCTGCTCACACAGGACAAATATGGCCAAGCCGAAAGTAGAGTGGGGAAAAAAAAGTATGGCTCCAGACCACAGCAATTTCAGAGGAATTTCAAGGATTTCAACACTCGAAATGTTGACGGCAAAGTGTGAGCATTTTGTGGAAAATTACGCCCCTCTCCATGTTTCAGACCACATTTTTGAGCTGACATGAGACACTTTTCCAAATTTTGCCTGATTTGTGAAGTGCTTTTAGCAGGAGCAGCAGCAGCCAGCTCTTTCCAAATCCGACTTTCAGTGTAAGAAAAAATGCACAGCTTATCACAGTAAAAGAGTGGATATTGTCAAGAAGCGAACAGTAATTAAGATGTCGCAAAAGAAACGCTGCCAGAGACAAGCACTTCACAATTTCATGGTGGATACATAAAGGGAACGAGAGGGATTTGAGTAAAAAGAGTGACAAACACAGTGAGCATGGGGAAGAAAGAGTGGGGAGATTAATTTCAGCACCATGGACAGAGACATACAACAACAACAGCATCGTGTGCATTAAAAGACAATATGAGTTTTGGTTCCATATTTCACTGTGTTAAGTGTAACAGTTTTTACACGCCTGTACCACAAATAAGGATATTTATAAGGATAAGGATATTTTAATCAGTTTTGTCAAACCTCTCAACATCATTCAATCCCACTCTCTTTTATGGCACAGAAAAACGACTCCAGATGTTTCTAATTCAGTCGCTAAAGCCAATTGTGTTTTGTGGAGCTGCCTCACAGCGTTAATATCTGGCTTTAACGTTGAAGTTTTGAAGGAATTTCCATTAGTCATTTCCTTCAAGAGCTCCATGAGAGCTGATACGAGGCATGAGAGGGTCTCCTCTTTTTAATTTCTGCTTGTGATTTCCATCTTTTCATCTACAAATAACACTTTCAGGCAACCCGGTTAGCTAGCTGTCAGCTACAACTTGAGCACAGTTTTTAAGTGTGTTAAAAGAATAACAAATTATCTGTAAAGCAGTTCCTGTTTGCAATGCACCCATTTACCTACAGAAAACTAACACTGGAATACTTTGATACCGAATAAAACGTGATGATTGTCAAGCAAGCTCTAGAGACATAAGGAGCATAGTTTTTTTTCATGATTTCTAAGCTGATTTATGGATGTTTATTCACAGATTATTTACAGAGCTAATGCTATTCTTGATGCAAATTGGAGCAATCAGGCGCTAAGGATTTTAAAGTACCTTGATTTCCTCTGTGAGCTGTTCCAACAGCTGACCATCTGGATAAACAGGCCGAATCAGCTGCCAAACAATACCTAACTTCTCAATATTTTCAGAAAACCAGCATGGACCTCCGTCACCTCACACAGTGGCTTTGCTGCATGTCTCACCCTCATAACAGTGTGGCAACCTCTGGTCGAGGGCCATGCGTTGTATAAAGCTTTCCGACTTGATTTATTCGTTACTTGTATTCACTTTTCTATGTATCTGTATGTTGGACCTACCTACGTCTCTGGTCTGTTCCCTGTGCTGCTGTAATGCTACATGTCCCTCCTGGGCATCATTTCTCTCTATTAATGTTCAAGGACAGTGATGACCTGTCGGGTTGCCCTCCTGGCACAATGTTCTCTCTCCCGCTTTAACAGGATAGATTCACATTTGTAGGTTTTTTCGAAATGCACATTCTGCGTAAAAATGCATCCACCTGGACATCTTCCAAAGTTTTTGTAGGATCACATTTGTTGTATGTGTTACTGTGTCTCTGCTTTAGTCCATGGAAGCACAAAGTGGGAATGTGGTACTGAAAAGACTGTAACTCTGGAAGATACTCGTTGGATTTTTTTATCAACTCAACCTTAGAAGTAACTATTACACAGCTGTGATTTTTCTTACACTGAAATCACTCTAAGAATGAATCTCTTTGAAGTCAGTTTGGACAGACAGACAGAAATATATATGGACATGTGATTATTGTATTACACTTTAAAAATGTGAACCTATCATCCTAACCTCATAAAGCATAAATGTCATAAACAACACATAACAGGTCGGTCATGCACTATCTGCACTAAACATTTGACGGCTTAACTCGTGTGCGTTACACATCATGTACTCTCCCCTCTCTACCTCCTCGCCTTCCCACAACCACGCAGGGCACTGAGGTCACAGCACGGCTATCCTGCCGCTGAACTTTCATTGCACAGCTTACTGGTGCAACAGATTGACGCTCTGAGAGTGAAAGGGCTCCCGCAAAGCTGGAACATGCTGCACTCGGTAGACAAGGCTCCCAGTGAAAAATCCCATCACTCGACCATGACGTCCTGTATAAAAGCTGGAAACACTCCTAAAGTTACTAAATGTCGTCCCACATCTATTTATTTTGTCTTCCTTAATGTGTCCATGTAATATAACTACTGTTGGTCTATTCAGTAAACAAGTCAACTATTGTGCGTCTGTCCGTACTTGGAGAGGAATCTCTTCTCTCCTGCTCTTCCCTAGATTTCTTCCATTTTCTCCCCCGTTCAAAAGTATTTTAGGGGGAAGGTGTCATATGCTGTACATACTGTAAAGCACCTTGGTGAAAATTTGGGCTATATAAATACAATTTACTTGACAAAAAAACTGTTATTCCTCCCTGGTCTGTGTATGTCTTTCAGCTCACAAAGCAGCCTGCTTTGCATCATGCCAAGCAGCAAAACAAGATGCAAAAGTAATTCTAGTATATTACATCATGGCATACTAAAGTTCTGTAAAGAATACCTATATTTTGATATTGTTTAACTTTTCCAGGTAATTAATCAAATTCCCACACTTTCCCTCTCCGGGAACCTTCTCTTCAAATTTCACAAATTCCATTAGCAATGGAAACACAAAGATTGAAAACTCACATAAATAACACATAGTCGAACCCAACAAAAACTGGACACTGTATCTCAACACAACATACTGTACATGTATCCAGAAACGCACACAGAGAGAAAGTGAGATGAACTTACCTGCTACTTTTTCGGGGCAGAGGTAGATCCTTCTGGAGAGGGAGAGAAAAAGAAAGAGGAGGAGAGCAGAAAGATTAGCCTGATTACACATCATGCAATCTGCTACTGCAGGACTCACTGTTTCTAGGGCTGTAGAAAAGATTATAATGTCAGTGTGGTGATGAAATATGAATTAGCATAATCGTTTCTGTAATCACACAAAGACAAAGACACAAACACTGCACAAAGTAACACTTCAGTAAAAGACTGAAACAGATCAAACTAATTATATTAACATGTGTGGTTATTTACTGAAGAACAGGGAATTTCATAAAAAAATGTTATAATTACTAATTACTTTGCGTCTTATTTATATAATTTGAAATATGTTTTCTATTTTTATCTCCTCATACATTTCACTGCGGATGTTTTTATGCTTCCCTGTAAGGCACGTTGTTGTTTCTCAGCATATAGACAGGGCGTGTATAAATCAAATTCATTCAAGGTCAAACATTAGACTGAAACACTCCCCATGTCTATTAAATGGATCCCTTGAGTTATTACAGGAGAAATGTATTTAAGAACTAACATGTTATTTTTCAAATGCTTGATACTCAAACCTTGCGTAACAAAATTTCAGAAATTTAATATTTCAGAATCAGAAACCGCTTTAGTGCCAAGTAGTTTTTACACTTACAGTGAATTTGCTTTGGTGACTAGGTGTGTAACAATAGACATAATATATAAATATAAAATATGAAAACTTTAAGATGAAACTTATACTGTGACAGACATCAGACAAGGCAGTAATATTTTCCATTTCTCCTACAAAGCTCTCTCAACCCTTTAATGGCCTTGTGAAATTCTTACATGCATGCATCCCAAATAATTGCTGCTAGACACTCAAACCTTGACAGATTTACTTGCAAAAGATCCAAAAGTATGTTTGACCACACTTGGTCATGCTGACTAGTAAAACAAGTTTGTGTTTGTTAAGACACTCTTTACATCATCTGTATTGATATATTGAACTGTATTAAGCACATTCAGTCCGAATGAAATGAGTGTCTGGCCTACCTGCCTACCTGTGCACACTCTGCCCGTGCCATCACTGTACATAAAAATGTTTTGGGGGAGTGGCTTTGGAGGGAGGCCTGAAGGGAGGGGCTATCATCTAATTAATTGAGACACTTTCAAAATCTAGCAGTTTCTTGCTAGTTCCTCCAACGTTAACTACTCGAGCTTTAAAATAATAAATAAGAATGATTTTTTTTTGCTGTCAAATCATGTATCACTTTGCTTGTTACAGTTAAACCTTAGCATCATCATTAGCATATATTGCTGGCATCCCACACAAAAAATAGGGCTCAGCAAAAAACTAAAAGAAGGTGAAACTTGTAAGTTGCAAGGTCAAAATATAACTTGTTGTACTGCAACTGCCTGAAAAGCTGCAGCATCAAACATAAGGTTCTCTCAACACTGAAACTTTCCAAAGAGAGTAGAACAAGAAATCCCAGATGGTCGCTGTGGTTTACAAAATAAACACTATTGTTAAATTTTCTGATAATAAAACTGCTCAAGCAGTAGTGTAGGATGATATTAATATAGAGTTCTGTTAATGTTTAGTGTAAGTGGAAATCAGTTTGAAAACTGATCCCTGCTAAGTGCTCTGAGACCTCAGAGCTTCAGGAAGCACCAGGTTGAACGGAGCCAAAGTCAATTTAAAAAATGTTGCTGCTCTATTTATGACATTGGGACACAACACCAAGGACCTGTGATGTGATTAGCATCTACTGAGATGAATCTGTGAGGTTCTTGTTGTCCGTCTATTCCCAATTTGATTTTAGGTGAGATCAGGTTTCTGTCAGTTTCTATTGTCAGCCTGTCCTGCGCTGCTTATCAAGCTATTTTCTATGTCACAATGGCTCGGCTAAAAAGATATAATCATGTTTTTCTTTTCTCTCGGGGAAGGCTTAATGACACAGACCCATGTAAACGACATGAAAGGAATCAAAGCGACAAACCTCACCAAGGTCAGGAGTTAAAAAAATAATAAAACATTTGAGAGGAGAATAAGAAGAAAAATGAGACTGTAATTGATTTTACAGAGAAGGATTTCAGTTAGACGCGGGCAGTCCTGACATTTCTCTCTCAGACACAGACACACACACAGTCTATCTCTCTGTCTATGTAAAAGTAAACAAGAATTACAAAACCCAAACAAGGCCGAGCTGATGAAACATGACTTGACAGCTGGAGCTCTCGTCTCCAAACAATCTCAAAACAAGCTTACTACCCAAACTCACATGATTTACTTTCCAGCACAGTCAGACACTAATACTTGCACTTAATAAGAAAACTATGGGGAACAAATGAGGAGTGGAAACCCTACTGGGCTGCAAAGATGCATGGTTAGAAAGCAAGTTAGAATCTGTTAGAGTTAGAATCAGTGTAGAATCCAAAGGCAGAGAAATCGTCGTCATAAGTGCAGCAGTAGTGCAGTAATCACATAAAAATAGAAAACAAAGATGCACAAACTGGTATATTAAAGGAATAGTTCCACATTTTGGGAAATATGCTTATTTGCTTTCTTTTGGAGAGAGTTGGATGAGAAGGTTGACCCCACTCTCATGTCCGTGTTAAGTATGGAGGAGACGCTTAGCATAGCATAAAACTGGATGCAGAGGGAAACAGCTGGACTTGCTTTTCAATGACCTGTCCAACTACAATCTTCTCCGCTGATTGCCTGGTTAGCCAAGAAGTAGTTAGACTACATAACTACAAAGTGTTTTTACATTTCGGTTTACAGAGAGATTAAACAAACAAGATGTAATGTGTTAACTGTGTATGTGAGCTTAAGTGGCGCCAGATCTGTAGGCATAATCTTTACTTTTAGGAAGAGAAAGCCAAGCTGTTTCCCCGTTTTCAGTCTTTCTTGTAAGCTAAGCTACTCATGTCCTGGCTTTAGATTTATATTTAGCATATAGACATGAGTAGAATCCATCTAATTCTCTTTAAGAAAGCAAATAAGTTTATTTGCCATCATGTTAACTATTTCAGTAACATGGAAAATGAAAATACACATATGCGATAGTAAACTTGCAGCATTTCTCAGTTCAGAGGAGAGTGATCACTTTTTTCTTCAATGGGAGTGACATCACCCATCATAGTGAGCTCTTTCTGGGATGGCTAATGAGTTACATCATCAAGAGGAAGTGAGCTCCAGCAGAGTGACTCAGAGAAGGCCCCGCAGGAGTCTTATATACGTACTATGTGTGTGTGTGTGTTTGTGTGTGTAGGGGGTGACAGGGGTGGCTAATGGATAAAACCCCCAACACCTGCTCCCTCTCACTGTCTCTGTCAAACAGACAGCTACTGTACGTGTTGTTGCCATGTTACTGGTCACTCTGGCATTTGTTACAACAATATTCACCTCAATTTCAAGTGCCCATGACAACATGTGGAAGTTCTCAGTAATATCCACTGTGCTTCAATACATAGTCATGTGCACCATACACATTCTGGCAAAAGCTATATTACAGGGTTATTTTGGAAATTCCTTTATGTGTACTAAAGACTGTAATGCACAACAAGGTACAATGCAAAGAGACTCCCTCAATGCCAAATCTGAAACACATATAATAAACTTCTGCGGTGTGAAATGGCGTTGTTCAACACAAGTCTGACCTAACTCTGATTCCCATCTTTTTCACAAGATTTATAAAGACCAATTTTTGGACCTTTCATCAATAAAGGGTGCAATCTTGCAATAAATCTGTAAACACATCCCCGTGAAGCAAACTGATATTTATTTATGATAGAAATACAACAGTAATCACAGGCCTGGATAATTATGAGTGATTGCTCATCATTAAAAACCATTTCCTGTTTTCACAATAACACACATGAATGTTGTGACGTGTCCTATTGTGTCTTTACACCTCAACACTACAGACACAGACACACAAGTAAACTAATATTTTTCCCCCAGGAGTTTTCCATTTCTGCTCTTTTACAGAGGATATGTCACTAAATACTAATCTCTAAACAAAAAATCAAGAGTAAGAAAATGTTCTGATGTGACATATTTGCACTATGACAAAAAGGCAAAGATGTGATCTCAAAGTGGTATTAAATAAATGGTTTTGCAGACACAATGCAGCATAGACAGACTCAAAGTTGTTTGCGCATAAAAGCAAACACATTCATAGTACATTTAATCCATTATGCACAACCTCTACAATGCTGCAAGCAACTTCAAATTATTCACATTCTCCTCAGCCAATGCGCTTTGTTATAGAAGGTGCCGTTCAAAACACATAAAATATTAGACAGCTTTCTCTGTCTGACAAGTGGCGAAAGGGTGTCCATGATTTGGAAAGAAAATTGGGGTTATATTTACCCAAGGACAAACCGAAGTCCAACTGGAAACCAAAGAAAAGAAAAATGTTAATATGCTGCTGCTCTGGGCAGAGTCAGAAGGCTTCTGTTCGGTTTCTCTTGCCAAAACTGACAGCAGATTGCGAGGCAAATGTCACGCAGTGTATTCTTCAGTTTAATAGTTTTACTTAAAGGCTTTGAACTCACTGGTCATTACAATGAGGTTGAAAATAATGTCTAATTTGACTCACATTCTTGACCTGTATCACTTTCTTGTTTAACTGGATCGAGTTTCAAACCTTAATAATTGCTATCTTTTCCCTACTTTGTCCATTTACGTCTGCTTTGAGGATTAAGGTGGGCTCAAGCTTTTGTGCTTCATAGGCGTCTGGCATGGTGATTCAAGCCCAGTTGAAGTAGTTCAAATATTTGAAGTTATTCCCAAATATATTCTGGCCTAGATCTGTTGCTTTGATGTACACTTTGCTCTCTCAAAAACAAAACCTACCCTTTCTGAATAATACTGACATCAGAAAGGCGTGGTGAGGGAGAACAAAGCAGTGGGCATGGCAGTGAGTGACAGGACTTGGCAAAGAGACCTGGATCTTCTGCAGTGATCACACTCTTATCCCTTGTGCTTAGCATATTGGAAATGGGCACACTGCCCAGAACAAAATATTGGACAAATGTGTGTATGTATGAGAGAGAGAGAGAGAGAGAGAGAGAGAGAGAGAGAGAGAGTGTGTGAGTACTCCCGACTCCTACAACAGAGATGGGTGAGACACATGGTATGACAGTTTGTGTGTGTGAGTGTTTGAGCATATGGGTTAAATGTAAGTTTGTTTCACACTCCTACAACTGCTCGGGGCAGGATCATCTTCATTTGAGGTGAAAGCGACTCATCTCAATGACACACACTCACCCACAGCGGACTGGATGGTGCCACAGATCATTGTGGTTGATCTAGATTTCATTTATAATGTGTTTCATGAAGTAATATGGGGCCTGTTGATGCACAATTCTGAGATTGATTTTAAATGTTTTGGATGTGTACAGTTAATAAATAAGAGCCAGTAATGGGCACGTGAACAGATTCACATGTACACAACCTTACGAATATTAAAACCAAAGCCAGGGGTCCTTTGTTGCGTGTCATATCCCTCACATTTCATGTTTGTCTTCATATGAGTGCACAGGCAGATTGTGCGCAGAAAGGCAGGTAGACAGGCAGGTAGGACAGCCAATCATTTCATTTGGAATGAATCAAATGATTGGCCGTGCTTATTACAGTCCTGCGACAGCCAAGAGATCCCAGTATTTTTCATTTGTGTGTCAGAGCATTTGATTAATTGATTGCTGTCGAGCTGCAAAGAGAATTTCAACAAATATAACAAAACGTGTTTCTGAAATAATGTGCCTATAGATTTAACTGTCAAATAAAAGCAAAAATGGCCAAATATAGAAAAAGAAAGGGAAGAAGCCAGAAAGGACAAAATAAGGTCTGCATACATACACATATATACATATATAAACATACACATATATATATATATATATACACATACACACACATATATATACACACACACACACACACACACACACATATATATATACACACACACACACACACACTCATATATATATATATGTATATATATATATATATAGGGTAAAATGTTTGTTGCTCTGGACAAAACTAATGCTAAATTAATGTAATAATGTAATTATGTAATATAATGTAACAATGTAATTTATTTCCTGTGTAATGCAAATGAGAACCCCGATACCATAGGCCACACCCTCAAAATAGTGTGCCAGATGTGCCGTGTAGAGTGACCAGAATGAGAGTGAAAGGAGGTGAACGAATGTGTTGAGGAATGGGAAGACATGGAAGGAAACAATGGGCGAGTTGATGGAGGTCAATGAGGACTGAGGACTGAAGAGAGTTGGAGATAAGAGCAAGACTTGAAGATAGCAGCTGGACGGATCAAATGACAGATGTTGCCTTTCTTCGTGGAAGGACAGTCTCTTCACTATTGACTGTTGAGAAAAAGCGAACATGTTTTTAAAAGCTTAGCCAGTGTCTCTTTTACATTGTTTGTCCACCATAGCGCACTGGCAGGTTTCATTTTTAATTGTAAAATGTCCCTCTCTTTTCATATCTTCGCAATTCTTTAAAAGCCAAATTTCAGGGATACTTATCAAACATGTTCATTTGTGTTACATATGTATTTTAATAAATTAATATTGCCCAATACTATACCAACATCAAAATTTTTAACTCTCAAATATCATTACAGTATCAGTATTGGTCTTACAAATCCAGTAGAAGTCAGGTTAAACTGTCAATACTAAGTTTACCACAAATGCTTCAGATGATCAGAAGTTTTCTGTACTTTTTTATGTATCACGGATTCTCTCCTTTTTATCATAACTTGTTTATTTATTGTAATTTTGTTAATTTTGACTTCTGTCCAGTTTGTGTTAAAGGGAAGGTCCAGCACCTGTTATGTGGATGTCTGTTCAGTGTTGATGGTGTAGGCAGTCTGTTGAAGCAATATATTCCTTAGCAACTGCTATATTGACTGAGAAAGATGAGATTGCGAAGTAGTTTCTGCATCCAGCACCATCATTTGATGTGACAGTGACGGTGGCAAGAACTACAGGCTACAAATGAATGAATGAATGAATGAGAAATACTTTTTATATAAGACCACCAATTGGTTTCAGTAATTTTCAGTGTCCAAACTCACGGATGAACAACAAAGTAATCTGTATGAAACACACACATGCCATACATGTACACACACACACACAACCCTTTCCTCCCTCCTTCCTCCTCTGTCTCTCTGGTGTGAAAGTAGATCCAGGCAGTAAAGGGATCCAGATTTTGTAATAGCCACTTAAATGGGGTCTACTGTAGCCCACAGCTGCTGCCTGCCTCAGGTCTATGCTGCACCCCCCTCCTCCTGGCCTCCAGGCCTTTCAGCCCGTCCTCCTGCTGGTGGTTGGTCTTCCTCCCTGAGGGCACACAAGGCTGTTAGGCCACCATTAGTCCTGCTAATGGGCCCGACAACTGCGCCACATCCTCAGCATTTAGACCTTCTCTGTCTGAGATATGGATATCGACCACTTCAGTGGAAATGGAGAGCAGGGGAATGGGGTGGGACTCGATTTGATAGGTACATATAGGCATGAATGTTACGCACAAACACACACAAGATGCTTGGTGTAACCACAGTGCAGTGAACTGAATGTGAGTCTTTTTACGTGTCTGTGGATTCCTGGTTTTAGTCTACCTTGGCTGAGTGTGTGTGATTCTGCATTAGATTGAAACCTTTATGTTCACATCTAATTGTTTCCTGTCCCCGCTCTCACTGACAGCGCTGATATACATGTCTACTTCTGAGAAAATACTTCAAACAAAAGGACTGTCGAGCTCAGCAGAGTAACTTAATATCTCCTAATTTACACACTGAACTCTGCCAAACTGAAACAGTTGTTGTTGTTAAAGTTGTTTAATGAAGCAAAAATGAAAAACAAAGAATTGGTTCAAGCTTCTCAAGTGTCTGTATTTTTTACTTTTCTTAAGTCTTGTATTATTTTGAATTGAATATCTGAACTTTTGTTTGATGGCCAAACAAAATAAGACATTTGAAGTCGTAACCTCAGGCTCTCAGAACTTGTGATAGTCGTGTTTCAATCTTGAAAACAAAAAATGATTAATCTGCCACAATTTTGAATGGAATAATATTGGATATAACCCAGAATAAATAAGAATATTATGGAAGCCAACTTTTTAAGTAGAAATACTAATAATTTGCTGGTTCTAGTTTCTCAAATGTAATTTTTTGCTGGTTTTCTTAGTCGTTTATGATTGCAAACTGAATGTTGCTGGTTTTACACCGGTGGTTGTACAAAACAAGCTTCTTGAATTAGTCAAGTTGGTTTTTAGGTGATCTTTTTATGGACCAAATGATTAATCCAGACAATAATCAGCAGACTGATCAATATTAAATATAATCATTCATTGGAGATAATAATAAAATACTCCGGCACATAATGACTTACCTGTGAATGCCAAATAAAAGTCTACAAGCACACACAAACTACTGTATCTCTGCACCTTTAACATCTATAGATTATCAAAAGCCTCAGTCTAAATGTCACAATGATACAGCTGACGAGAAATCCTTAACAAACAGGTTCAAAAGGGCAGTTCAACAAAGGTCGAGCTGGTGGTAGAGGTAGCAGATAATATATGGATCATTGCACTCTAAGGAATACAAGAATACATCCATCAAAGACAAGCAATCAAAACATCCGCTTTAATTCACCAAGCCTAACAATAGGAGTCCAGCACCTGTAGGAGTGAAAACTCTAAGCTGCTACCAACTTAACAGCAACATTTGTGCAGGAAACCATCCAATTTCGCTTGTCTATACTCATAAATGATGAGCAATCATCTACAGCAGAATATCTTGGCACAAAGTGCAGCAAAGTACTTTTATTGTAAATTAATTCACGAGGAAGCAGAGAGGGACTGGCAGACAATAGACCTGCATAGTAAGCTTTGCCTTGCCTCACTTGATTCATTTCACGCAAGTGCCCACCACACAGAGGAAAGCCTCGAAGGAAGCTTTTACCAGAGCCTTCCTGTGTCGTAATATTCAAGATATGGGCTAAGTGACTACATCCTGCAAATGTAATAGAAGGATCTATTCCACCAACTCAGTCTCTTTAAGTAGCCCGGACTCAACACATGACTGGTTATTATAGATACATATTATTGTGAATCTAAAACAGGTTATCACAAAACTTTATTGGGACAATATATTAAGAAGTTTTTCTACTACTTATACCACAGTAGATATGCCTTAACTATATCGGTGTGTTTTAGGTCCATTATGACAAAGATCAATGAGCTTGACTGGTTCATGGCAATAATTATTTTTTTATTAAATTAATTCATACTGTTTTTCACTTAATTTATTTTTAGAAATGTTACTTTTATACAATCCTGCAAAAATCAAAACATATACTATGGTTTTCCAAATCAGCCACTCTTTTCTGAAATGTTGCTGTTCTGTTGTCTACTAAATCAATCAACATCATGTCCTTCTTTTAGGTCTAAAAGTCTAACTTTTTTTTAATGAGCTTGTGCCTTTGCATACTACTTTTATAAACTCACTCATGGGCCTACACTTCCCATGGTTGGAGATGTCTTTGGAAGCATCATTAGATTAAAATGTGTTCAAAGCAACTGATGTTGGCTATATTATATTAATTACAAGTACAACTGATCACATTGGCTGTATTTATGTAGGCTACACCCCTTACATCTATGTTTGGAGGAAGAACCACCATATGTCACATTAAATCTCCTTTAAATATTATGTCCCAGTATTTGTAATGGTGAAAAATGTCTCAACACTTCCACTTTTAGCCTTTTGAAATAAAGAGACAAGTAGCCTATCCACATTCATAAAATAATCATACATGTTTTAATAATCCCCATGTGGCAACAAAGACGGTTAAAAAAAGTTCTCACCTGCAGCCTACGTCTTCGGATGATCCCAGAATCATCCATGGCGCCAGTCCGGGTTCACACCTGTCGGTGGGTCTCGTGGCTCCTGCGGTTTTCCAGGAGATGGGGCGAGAACAAACCCCACTCTCGCGTGGCTTATCAATTCACTACTAAACCGAAATGCTTGGCAGAGCTGCTTTTAACATTATTTACCAGCGAAAAGCAGGTAATATCGGCTCATTTGCTATGGTCAGTGTTGAAAGTAATATCATGCGGGAAACACTGAGATATAAGCTTTATATTCTCTCGCGGTACAACAACAAAACAAAAACTACACTATCATATATGACCCAAGTAAAACAAAGTGCCGCTCTTGTGTTGGACCCCAGCCGACATCCCTGGCTGGCAGAGACTGACAGACACTACTGACTAGGCTGCTCTGTGCTGGGAACCGCTGAATAAGCGAGAGGCTCCCCGGTGGGATCAGCGTGCACTGCGTGAACTGAAGTCCAGCTGAGAGACAGAGAGGAACAGCCCAGACTGTCAGATCGAATATTACCACACCGCAGATAAGATAAACCAAACAAGTTTGCACACATCTTCACACCAAGAGCATCCAGTGGGAATCACAGCTCAAAACAAAAAATCTTACAACTACACGTAGCTCATTGCACCAGCGACAGCCAGAATTAAACTACTGTCATCCTTTAATTAAAAAAACGCTTCTATCTCAGCGATCCTCTGTTGGTCTGCGAACGACAGCGATCCGCTACGTGTTACAGGAGTCCACAGAGCCACATTCAAGCACGGTCTAGGTGCTGAGGATGCACCATGTACACACGGGGTTCATTGCATGCACACTGCAAAACAACTACAAATCTGTATTGTGTGGTGAATCCACACGCTGTAACAGCTCCTGTGCATTTAAAAAAAGGCGAGATGAATGAGAAGCGACTCTATACGTCCCTCTGGTGAAAGACACACACATCGGCACTGAAAGCGGGTTGGTAACTTCACGTTTTCGTCCCCTGGTTGGCAGATTTGTCCGTTCTCGGTGTTCACCTTGTTCTTCTCCAGTGTAACGTTGCATTTCTCGCAGAAGACGATGTGTGGTTGCAACCCAGGCTTCGCTCCATCCTCAGCTCTTACCACCCACTTCCTACTACCAGATGACGTTTAACCCTTCAGCAACCACAGGCGTCTTCTTTTTTCTTTTTCTTTTTGCATTTATCAGCTACTGTATGAAAGTGGGTTTTCATATACAAGTTTCCATTACCATTACCTGACAAAGTTTATGTTTATGCACATTTGAGGTGCATCTGTCCGGAACAAACTGCTAAACTATTTAATATTTCAAAGTCTTGTAACTAATGACAACATATTTGATACTAGGGTTTTGCAACATGATGTAGATTAGTTGATTCATCAATCTACAGAATAGAAAATCTGCAGCTATTTTGATAATCAATCAGTCTTTTCAGTCAATTTTCAAGAAATAATAGTGAACAAAATGCATCAAATGGCAGGGTTGGCTGCTTTAGCTGTCAAATTGAATATCTTTGGGTTTTGGACTTTTGGTCAGACAAGGTATTTGAAGACATCACGAGGCCTCTGTGAAGTTGTGATTAGCATTTTTTTCACTATCTTTTCACATTCAAAGCCCGATTCATCGAAAACACAATCAGCAGATTAGATTAGACAGTTTTACTAATCCCCACTGGGGAAACTCATTCGCCACCAAATCAACTCCTACAGAAAACAAACATTACACAACAAAGAAAAATAATTAACAACATGAAAACTCATTTGAGACATGGTTAACAGCTGAAAGGTATATGGATCTAGACCACATCTAAGAGTCTTCATTCATTTTTTGATTTCTGATCATTTTATTGATCCTGTTTTAATCATCTGCAGTGATAATGTCCCTCCAGTGGAACAGAAAATAGGACACTAGCTACGATTACTAATGAAGAAGCTTCTTGATATCTACCATCATCTATGGATCCAAGCTTCCTCAAGAAGAATTGTCTTGACTGAGCTTTCTTGAACACACCATCTGTGTTCTTTTCCCAGTTTAATTAACTATCCAAGTAGACGCCAGGATATTTGTAAGACTGGACGATCTCTATCTGCTGACCCTTAATTATCACTGGGAAGACCCCCTTTTTCTTCCATCTGCAAACATTAATTAACTAACTGGTCTTCCCAACCTTCTATAAAAAAAATGTGCATCACACCAGCTGACAAATAATTCAACATCTCTTTTGTAAACCAGGTCTTTCTATCAGCCCTACAGCCTATCATGAAATGATACAAAGCTACGTATCCTTTAGTATTTCCAGTTGTATTAGTCCGTTGTAAACCAATCAGCAGAAGTGTTTGATGCCAATGTTATGTGTATATACAGTATATCCATATGACATATAAAAAACAGAGCATACCATGATAGAGGAAATTCACAGACGGCCTTCTCCATAGGGTTGACAAATCTGCCTAACTTGGCACCCAACCTAATATGATCCATTACCTAATATGAACAGAGAGTTGCTTACATAAATTATGTTGTCTAGCTGACTTAACAGTCAACACAACCTGCCGTCATGCTTCCATTGCTATTCCAGTGAAAAATGGCATCAAGCGTTATGTATTATTCAACATTCACACCTGTCACACATGGGATTCACTGCCACATTTCACAGCTCCTCACCCTTTAGTTTGTGTCCCTGATCCAAATGTTAATGAATGAACACTGGCACAGAAACAAATTCCCACCATAGTGATTTTAAAGAGAAATATCTTGAGTGCTGATGAAATATTAATTGGAACTACACATATAATGTTTCGTTCATACCAAGTGAACCGTGCTGTCCCTGTGGAGTCTGCCCAACAGATATCGTCAGTAAAATGAATGCATTCCCTGATCAATACTAAAGGAAAGTCGCCACTAAGCAGTTGTAATCACTAACTATACTGAAACATTTAAGGGCAAAGTCCATCACTGTGTTCACACAATGCCGGGGCGTTTGTCAGGGATGATGTTTCACTGTTACCCATTCTCTCAAGAAAGAAAGAAATGTTATTCAAAGGTGGCTGGTGGGACTATCAATGTGGAGAGGGAAAAACACACAAGAGGCCAGGCAGCTGGTCCGGCTCCAGGACGGAGGGAGACAAGAGGGAGACTTAGTGGCTTTCAGCATCGTGGCCTTAATGTTCCCCTGTCTCTCTGAGCAGACGGAGCTGGTAGGCTTTAGTCCCTCTCTCCCTGTGATTTACAGCTGACAGTTCATTCTGGGCTCAACCTCAGCGACTCCACCACCACTTTAACTCCCACTGTCAACCACACATATGTACAAGGAGAACATTTTTAAAACTGCAGATTCATTTTATGCCCATCGACTAATCAATTAACGACTAATAGTTGCATCGCCATGGTTTAATAAAGCAAAGGACACAGTAGTTACTTCAATATTAGGCTTTTAGGAGTCTTGCAGCTTCTGGAATAAAACCAAACGTCTTACAGGAAATCTTAAAAGCACTCCAGATGGCGCAGCTTAAAAAAGTTATGAAAAACATGTGTGGGGTCATTGATAATCACATATGGATTTTTTTGGGACTTAGTATTGCATGTAAGTTGTCGTCAGAGATCTGCGTGTGTACATTCTTTAACAGGGTTATGTGCACACACATGTACACACACACATACAGACACACACAGTCTCACACATAGACACAAACAAATTTAGGTTGTCCCTGGTAGAATTATTCCTGATGCTTTTCTTTCAGTTACTTATTTAAATTAATTGTTATTATTCCAGCTCTCGTGGCTGTGCTGTGTTGCTTATTTAATGTGCTGGACTGTTTCTTGTTTTCATTTTTCTCTTAGTTGTCTTACTATGTCAGCTGTTTATTGCTGCTGTTCGGCTGGTTGTCTTTTACAATTATTATTATTTTTGTTGTTTGTTTTTGTTTGTGTTTGTTTGTTGTTGTTTTTCTCCTCCCCAAGCCCCCCTCTCTGTTCTATTGCAGGTTTCATTGCTTTCTGCAATTGGTGTTTCCCACTGCTTTTCCCTGTTGTCCCCACCTTCCATCCCCCTTCACTTACAGGTCTTGTCCTTTCTCTGTGCTGTCTGTTTGTGCACCCCCATCCCCGTGTCTGCCCCCCTGTGACAAATCAATATATAATTAAATAAATAATAAAACAGACAAAGGAGTATATTAATACTCTCTTGTTAAAGTAAAATCTGTCTTGCACAATATGGTATCCAGGTCATCATACTCAATACCAGGCTGCTGGGCAGGACAGGTTTAAAAAAAAAAAAAAGAGATCTGCGTGTGTTTTGCCAATAATTTTAGAAAGGGGGTTAACAACACTTTGGGGGATCTGTATTTTCATGAAGTGGTGAAATCATGAGACGGAAGCATCAGTGGCCTAGATATCTCCAGAAACACTGGATCCTATGTTTCCCGTGATGCAACTCAAGAGCATCTTTCATTAGGCCCTCCCTACCTCGTAAATGCCCACTTGTAACGACGTTTTGAAAGCCCAAGCCAAGATAACAAAAAAGTACAAGCTTTTTATAAACATTGGACTCCAGAGCCACAGACAACATTATAATAATAAGTACCCCACACTTAAGCCATGAATAACTGTTATAAGACTATCTCTGCGTTTTGGTGAAATGATAATTAATTTAGTGCTGGATACATTTAAAGCAATTAATTATCTATAACAACAGTCCACAAATTCTTGCATTAATCAGATGTTACTGTGGAAATCAAACAGTGAGAATTTAACGAGTATGCTTAAATTATATTTATACTACAAAAAAATCTCCTATTAGTAACATCATATGGGAGTTTCAGTGTCTAATGGCAGCTGGTCCACCCTGCCTGTAATGTGCTAGGGAACATGGTAGAAGCTAAAGAAAGCATTAGAATAAAGTAGAATAAATGTGCCTTGGTGTCAGCAGGTGAAAAACGATGCTTCGTAGAGTGACCCAGTTTCCAGCTTGTCTGACTTGTCTAGCACATTTAGCCTGTGCTGCTTTTCTTATTAATATTAAATAATTAATGAAGGCACATGAATTTTACATCTTTTTTTTTTGTTCATTAGGTGCTGTGAGATTTGGGGAGGAGGCGGAGGCAGCAGCGTAGAAACTTTACAAGGCAATACATATTTCTTTTGCTTTGTGCAAACACTCAAAAATGATGTCACCATTTTTCAGAGGATGTCCCAGAGGGAGGTCACATGGGGTCAGCTCTCTGCAGCCAAAAGCTTGGCAGGGCTGGGATTTGGAATATGCCTGCCGCCTGTGCAATCCCATTTCCCGTCCTGGTTAAGCCTGTCTCACAAGAGCCACGTCAGCTCACATCTCTTCACGGACTACAAGTGCCTCCCCCTGCATTCACATCTGATGTGTGTGTGTATTTGTGTAGGTTGATAAAAGGAGTCAGCATTCCCCCCACCGACACAAACTGTAACATGTAGGCGATATTTGAAGTGAAACTCTTCCCCTAGTGATTAATCACATCAAACACGGTGTGTGCAGGTGCTTTATGATATACAAGGAGAAAACACAACAACATAAAACACCTGTTAAATTCAATACAATCCTTAACAGTCCTGCAATGAATATTTTACCTTATACTTAACCTTTGTGAAATGTTAGTTATTTTGTGTTGAGAATGTCAGAGGGGTATTGGTTTAATTGTGTGGTTCTTTTGAGCTGCAGAAGTGTTGTATTGTGTTTTGTGTTGGATTTCATCATATTAGGGCTGCAACTAGCAATTATCTTCTTTAGTGATTGATCTGTCGATTGTTTTCTCAATTAATTACTTGCTGGTCTCAAAAGATATAAGATAATAATAGAAAAAATAATCACAATTTCCCCAGCCCAGTGAGGCTTCTTTAAAGGGTTGTTTTGTCTGATTAATGGTCCAAAACACCGAACATATACAATTTACTATTACAGAAGAGTAAGAAAACACATTTGAGAAGCTGAAACCAGTGAATTTTTGCCATTTAAAATTACTTAAATGATTAATCGGATATCAAAATTGCAGATTCATTTTATACTTTCTGTCGACTCATTACTCCAGTGATATTAAAAGTTTTTTTTCATGCCTGACTATTAGGGTGCCACTCAAAAATAAAGTTTCTAAATTTTATCTTCCCACACCCCAAATGTGTTAGTAATGTGACAAAAACTAAGTTGACAATATTTGAATGTTTTCTAATAATTTTTACTGGTAGCTCAACACTGACAAAGTTTTACAATATTCAACATTTCCCGATTTTATCATGTAATATTAACTTTAATATCAAACGTTAGAATAACGTAAAACTCCTCAAAAAGAAGACACATGGCTGCTAACAGTCACTTCATAAGTTAATAATAAACACTTAAGTATTACACTTGTGTCCAGAGAATGACTGTATTGCAACTT